GCCAACTTAGACTCAGGGTGTTTCGGTACGCAGCGTTTGGGAGTATCTAGTTTTTAAGAAAATGCTCGTAAAAAAGAAAAAGTTTCGTTCGGCGATAAGAGCATTTAGCCTTTAGCCTAAACAAAATGCTTTAAAATCAAAAGCTACTTGTTACCAGCTAGTTTTTGCCAAACACACCCTCAAATTAAAATGATAGATGAAGTTGTCTCGTCTTTTAGTATCCTTTGTGTGTGGATTTTCACGAAAATGCAAAAAGATGCACACTATAAGCACAAGAATGAGCAAATTTGGACGTAAAATGCTAACTACGATCTTTGTTTTTTTAGGTTAGTAACTTGATATATATTTGTCGTGTTTTGAAGTTTATCTTGGTTGTTATGTTTTGTATGATCAAGGATAAATTAAATAAACTAAAGATATTTTATATTGTCTTTGTCATTTCAATTTGGTCATTTTTATCTTAATTGAAACTTGAAAGTAACATGATATTATGTCGTGTTGTGTTCGTATTATATAAAAAGTTGTGTGTTGTGTCATATTATAAAAACACGATACAATTGTCCGATATGACACTCTTAATTAGGTGGTTCTCGTAAAAGTTCGGTGTTTACATACATTGTAACTAAAACTCGCATGATGCAGATGCTAAGACTAGATCCATAGACCATTTTAACAAAGACCACATACATAATATACCAAATCCTTTTTAAAAAGGTCAATTTGCATAATATAATGAATCCTTCTAAAAAGGTTAAACATATTATTTAAACATGAAACTACCAAGGCCAAAAAAAAAAAAAAAAAGAAAAAAGAAAAAAAAATAATTCGATCAATGCAATTAAAATGTTATTTAACTCTGCAATACCTTCTTCTAATGACTACACTTAAAGTCCAACCATTTCCCTCTCCACTATTCATGTCCTTCTCCGACACCTCTTCCCCTTCAATCTCCTCCATATATCTCTACCATAGTTCACCCTCCAAGAAATTCTTCATCTTTAACATTTTTTACCATTTTGTGCGTCGATCATAACTTCCATTGAAATCACGTTCACATCTACCCTCTATAAACATACTCACGCAGCCGAACTTCCAAATGAATATAATGCTTGATATCAAAATTATTTTAATTTATTTGTTTAGTGCCTGGTTTTACGTTCACTAAATGATTTATAAAACCTATTTTTACCTCCAAATTTAAAAATTTTACATAGTTTTTGAGTTTAAAAGGCGAATTTTCGTTAAATTCCGAAAAAGCAATGCGCACTACACATCGTGTCGGGCATGGTGACGTGGTGTTCATCTGGTGGTGACACGCGTCGCAATCTCGTGGGTTGTCGATGCACGCCACACATCTTCTCTGTGTGCGTAACTGCATGCAGATTTTTATAAAATCTTACAAAGCTCATAACTTCTTCACACGAGCTCCGTTTTTAACAGATTTTATATCCACGTGTAGCTATTGACGAGATCTACAACTTTTGTTTAGACCCCGTCGGCTATTTTTGATTTATTTTTAAAATTATATTTTTAATTAGTTAGACTGTTAAAGTCCGTTAAAAATTCATAACTTTCTCGTCTAACGTTCGTTCTTGACTATCTTTATATCGCCGGACTCCTATTAACGAGATATTCGATTCTTGTTTAGATTATTTCGGCTAAAAATTAAACGATCTAAAGTTTAATTTCTGAGTTATATACTGTTATACTGAATTTTAGAAAAATCATTACTTACTTTAATGAAGTCAGATTTGATATTCTTTATATATATGTTCTCGGTTTAATGACTGCTACAACTTTCGTTTAGATTACTATGGCTAAAAAACGATGTATCTCCGACTCATTATTTACGATATTTGTAGTCGTATCGGGTCAAACACGAAACTTCAACGAATCATAACTCCTTCGTTATAAGTCATATTTAAGCGTGTTCCTTATATCTCCGGAATCTTTGTCATGATTACTTCAACTTTCATCAAGAATATGCATCCTTATTATTACTCTATTTAGACGTTTATTTTGTTTCTATTTTAATATTTTGTTATAAGCACATATACTACAAATATTTATGCATAGAACACCTAATATTCACCAAAATTTTCCCTTATCACACTAAATAGATTACAATTGTTGATCCTAATTATTGCATCATCTTATTAATATCTAGTAAGAAACGTGGACGTTACATTAACAGACCCAAAGACCTCCGGGATTGCCTCCCTAACAACCATGGTCACCTAAGTGGTGAGCATCTCCCGAATGTCTTTATATGTCAATCATGGCCTCTCCAGGCCGCCCGCTCCAGATCTAGAACCTCTAGTGAACGACATACTGAAAAACAAACTAGATTAAATAAGAAAAGCCACAATTCATACTATTACAACATTATAGGAAGATTAAACCCTCGAGGTTCGTGACTTCCTTGCTATGCATACGGGTCTTGCGCTTCCAGTAGTACGGACTCATACTACCTTCCACGCATACCCGTATATGTCTTAAGGGAACGTTACAGACTACCCGGCTATAAAGCCCAACAATTAGGATATGGATACATCCTATACTCACTCCCTTGAGAGTGGCCAATCATCCCCCAAGATGGCATACTATAATAGTACAGATGCCCGTGTATGCTAATTATACATAACACGGGATTCGATAAACAGTCGAATACTTAATTCTACCCTAAGCCCACAACCAGATAAGAAATAAAAAATAAGACTAAGGTCCTGACCGAGTCAAGTCAGACGTTTTTGGCTAACTTGGTCAGCAAAACAAGTTTGATAATCCAACTTCGGGCATCTGACTCAGTAAGAAACGTCTGATTCAGATAGAAAGGGAAAACTAGTTGACTGAGGAAATGGGGATACATTTCCATCATTACCCTTTCCTTCACATTCTCTTTCAGAGCCTCCATTAGTCCATCCCAAGGACCGACTCGGAGTGGTTCAACCCAGGAGAATGACCAATGTTGTTTAATTCTTAGGAAGCCCTTTATATTGGCCTGAGCAGTGCTTAAATTTTATCCCACAAGCGATGTGGGACTTCTCAAAGATTGAGGATGAAAATGGATATAGCAGTCTCTCTTTATATAACTGGCGAGAACAGCAAATGTTTGATTCAATAGGCGATGTGGGATGGATGTATAACTGTGGCAAAATAAAATCACGTCTGTGGCAAGTATCGATCGATGGTCATCTTGGTAAAATGTCAAAGCTACAACAAACCAACCATATTGCTGCTATGTATTTTAATCACAAAAAAATTAATATAATATGAATTTCATAGGCACATAGGTTAACCACCATCTTATTTGTTCGCTTCAACTTAAGTATTGGAAGAACTTTATACACGCTTTAGGAATTTGGTTTTGAAATCCTTTTCATGAGATTTTAACTTTGTGGTTACATTGTGCATATATATATATATATATATATATATATATATATATATATATATATATATATATATATATATATATATATATATATATATATATATATATATATTCTAAAAATATTTTTACATGAAGTAGAGGGTAAAATTGTCATTTTCCATCAGTCAACATATTCATTCAGATGTGCAATCAAACAACATGATTCCTTACTCAATCATGATTTCTTACCTAGACAGATCTTTCCCAATCAGCACTTTCTAAGTCAGCAACTATCAAACGGGACCTAAATCAAAATCAAACATTCTCAGACTATAAAATCTTAGTTATATACAACTATGATGTATACACTAAGCAAATACAGTAATAATATCAGCTTCATATAGCATAACAAGAGTGATTATTAACCCGGTTTATGTCCGATAGTAGTGGGATGAATGAGATTTTTTAAAATAAACTAAAAAGATTGTGGTGTTGTCCAAAAAAAATGAATTGATTCAATAAAAATGTTTGAAAAAATTAACTAAAAGAAATTAATAATCCAATAAAATAATATTTATTACTATATAAATATTATATATTATAGATAATATTTATTAATATATGGTAATCCAATTAAAAAGTTAATCTATAAAAAAAATTAAAAATATTTTTTTTTAAAAGAAATTAATAATCTAATAAAATAATATTTATTAATACATAAATATTATAGATTAAAAATTATATTATTAATATATAATAATCCAGTAAAAAATTAAAAATAAAATTATTTAAAAGAAAGTAATAATCTAAGAAAGAAATGTGCGAGGTTTGAGGAACAATTGTTTTTCTGATCCATTTAGGTTTTCTGATAACGACATATCTTATCGTGAAATGTTTGTTTTTATGCAAATTAAACAGTCTTTCCGGTTCATTCAGCTGGAAATATCTGTTTAGACCTGAAAATATGTCTATCAAACGGGACCTTAATCTTTCCTTTATTTATAAGTTTTAGAATATTCAAAATTATTTGTACAAAACTATAATAAAACATTTCTAATCATATTTTTTGATCATTCATTTATCTTCTTTCGTCTTTATACCCATATAATCCCATCTCTCATTTTCGATTTTATGAATACCAAATTCTTGTGTCTGCGATTTTCCCTACAATGTTTGTTCTTTACTGCTTCCATTTATGGTTACATTTATAATAACATAAACTCTTCTCAATGCTAAGCTCATAAATGTACTCCAAAGCTTAATAAAATATATAAATAAGAACATATCTTGAACTCGTAGATCTGAAAATTTTCAGGTACAAAAGTTGATCGCCTTTATGAGTTGTCCAACTTTTATGCTTTGCTTCAAAATGTGGTGTATATTGAATGAACACATAGGAAATAGGAGATTCATCAATCTTTTATCAACATTTACTCATTTTGGCAACTTTAGCATATTAATTTACTTCCTTTATGACAAAAGTAATCAAATCTTTATCTTCACAAATAAAGGCCAATACCAACACTTATTCTTACTTGCACCATTTATTTTAGCTTTCCTAAAACACATTCTCATTAATGCATACAAATTCTTAAGATACACGACCAAACCGGTTAGTTAGTTGATTCTGATTATTTAATTTTTGAGTTGGTTGACATGGATTTTTTTTTCTTATATTATAAATGCCCATTGTTGAATTCATGACCTAATATTCATCCTAAGTACATGTTAATCATTAAGCATTTTCTTTTAAACAAAACCAATACTAATACTACTAAAGTCAAACTACAACAAAAAGTCAACCACAATACCACCACTTCACTTCACCTCCTGCCACAAACCATATCTCCAAAGTTCCCTGCAAAACCACCCACAATATTACTACAATCTCCAAAGAAAGGGTCAAATCTTATTCTTTTAATTCAAAATTTGGCAAGAATAGCAACAATTTGTAGACTAAAAGTTAAATATATGGATGTCAAAATAAATATAGTATTCAAAAACTTCTTACCTAAAGCTTCCATCTAGCCACTAACAAGAGTCAAACCATCTTCACAATCCTTGTACACAACCATCATTTGATCGACACCATGGATAAACCCTCTCCTATCATATCAAATAAAATCACCCCAATCAAATAAACCATCAAGATAAAGTCTTAATAAAAAAATGCAAGGAATAGCAACATATTTCCATTGTTTTGTTTATTATTATAGCATCCTGCTTTCATTTCTTTTCGTATTACATCATTATACTTTGAAAACTCCATCCAATTAAATGTTACAATGCCATAATTGGATAGATCTTTCAAAATATAATGTCTTAATAAAAAAGGGAAAAGATAAAATCAAATGGTATAATAGATAGATAAATGAAAAAGATCACTTACATTCGTACAACTCCCTAAAGGCCCTTTTGCATGTACTAAATCCTCATTTGGACACCGAGAAGCTTCCATACCTTCGGTCAACGAGAACCCAAACAGCCGGCAACTATTCTTAGCCGTCGAACCCGGTTCTTCCGGAAGCTTCTTCATCGGACTAACAAAAACTCGACGGCTTTGATCATTAAAAGCCTTCACATTATCAACATGATGTACCGGATAACCGTCGGGAACCCGACCAATCGGTTGCGGAAACCTTAAAACCGATGAAGGTGAAGATGACGAAAACGCCCTCGACGGCTGACTCCATAAATTTCCGTTTGAAGTTATTTCTTGACCTTGCAAGACCGGATTGAATCTTAAAGATTCACCAAAGCCTACACTTGTTTGATTTCTGATGTTATTTGAAGGGTAAAACCCGTAAATTTCTTGACCTTGCAAGACCTTGTGGAACCTCATAGATTCCCCCAAGTCCGAGGTTGTCCGATCTGTAAAAAAATACGTAAAAAAGTTATGGTTTGTCGTTTTTTACGTTAAATATAAAAAATTAAAAATAAGTAAAAATATGTGCCTTTGAGAACGGGAAAACCGGTACGTGTCCTTTTCGATATCGGTGACACGAAGCTTCCGATTTCCGAAACGGGACCCAATCGCTCGATTTCCCATGGAGAAACCCTATTTTGCCTTGGAACTTCCACACCGTCCCATCGTACCTGAAATAAATATTAACAGCGTTCAGTAACAGTAACAGTAACAATAACAATTTCTACAGTAACATTGGAATTTTAAGATAAAGTTTAAAAGGAACTTGTACCGTTAGGCATCGCCATTTAGATCCGGGCCACCTAGCGGGATCGATTTCGCTAACCCCGGTCACGGTTCCTGTAGATCTGTAAAATTTCGCGATAAAAAATGAGTTTTTTTTTTTTTTTTTTTTTAATTATTATTATTATTTTTTTTAATGGTGTTGGGAATTATGGGATTTGGCAAACCTTTGGTCTCCTGAATCTTCTGTTTCGAGTCGCATTTTGAACCGCATTCCGGGAGAGAATGTAATGGAAAGGCTTTTTAGGAACCGGTTGTATGGCACGATGCACTCTGATGAACCACCCCTGGCATTTTTGTTTGTTGAATTTAGAGGGCATAAACGTAATTTTGCTTACAAAAAACTAGAAATCAAGACCTTAGGACAATTGACACTTCTTTTTTAAAGACTCATGTCAATGTAACAAAAATTGCAATTTTTCATCCCTTTAAGAAAAGGGACAAAACTTACTTTTGATTTTTTGTGTTGTCAGTGGAAAAGACACAAATACCCTTCGCGTCCTAATCCTCCAAAGTATCCCAAAAAAACTAAAAATCTTGTGTAAAAAAAAAAACGATTTTTTTCGTTCTCATTAAGGGCTAATTAAAACTCATTAACACACTAACATTTTAGTTCTTTGCTCTTATTCATTTTACCTCTCAACTGCTCCCACGTTGAGATTTACGAATATCAAGAATTTTTTTTATTTTTTTATTTTTTTAACAGGAGTAAAATCATAATTTAGTCTGTTTTGGATAAAAGTAAATGTCTGTTTCCTCAAGTATGACAATTTTACACTTTTATCAAGAGGTAAACGTCTGAATATAATGACAAATTTTACCAGTTTACCCTTTTCTTTAGAGTATAGCTGAAATATTTATCCGCTTCTCTCAAAGTTTTGTGTGTATTTTGGAATAAAATACAAACATGTATACATTAAAGTCAAAAAGAAATAGTTATTTAGTTACCTTGGATTATAATAGACGTTGAAAACAGTTCGTCTAGAAATGGAATTGACCACAGTCGCAAAGTCATTCATCTGAAGACTACAAAACTTTGGTAAACTCGAAGCCACCTTTGCTTGAATCGCTCTTCGGATCCCCAACCTTAATACTCCATCATCACCCCTGAAACATCAGTCGCAAAATGACTAAAATGCCCTCACGTTTTTCCACACAAAATGACCAAAATGCCCTCACCTGAGAAAAAGAACCGCATCTCCGCACACAAGCTTCTTCTTGTTCACGAACGCACTCCAACCAGTCGTTAGCAAATGCCTCCGAGGCTGTCCTGCTCGAATTCAATAATAATTTTCCATAATTATTGCAAATTAGAAGATGGTTTCAAAGGGTAAAATGGTAATTTCGTTTTTGTACCTCGGTAGATATGTCGGAATTTCCATTCGGTCCCATGAAGATCTTTGGCTACAAGCTCTTGTGAAGGCCTCTGTTGTTTATAATCCAGTGGCGGAAAGCAGTCCTCGGCGGCACGACGGGGGACGGAGAAGCCGCCGTGGGTGCTGGTATCGGAGGCGGTGAGTGTCTTGCAGAACATATGCGGCGTTGTCGACTTTTCAGCCACGGCGTTGTCGTCCTCCGCTGATTCGACTTTCCGACCACCTTCACGCCATTTCTGCTCAAGCTGTTTTATGCCGCCGAACAAAATTAAGCTAAAAACCATAGTCCAAAACTGAATTATAGTCTTGAAAATCAAAATGTAAACAAACCTGAGGATCTTGAATCAAGGAAACTTGAGCGTAAACATCGTCAGTTCCAGCTTCAGCCTAATTACATGAAAGTTCATTAATATATGAGCTGATTGGTCACTAATTTACAGATTATGGTAAGCAAGAATGAAACTTACGTGAAGCTTGACGTCAAGAACACAGCAAAACACGTGAGGGGGGAGATTACAGTCGCCGGAGGTGGGACAATCGCCGCTGGATTGTAGCTGTTCGAGGTGACCTTGAGGGCAGTACACAACGGCGTTTCCTTTCTTCGGTAGCGATATCAGAGGTCCGGCACAAGCGTGCCACAACTCCAAACAGCACACCACCGGAGTAAAGTCAGAACTCACTGGCGCCGGAGCAGGAGCAGGAACAGTGATAGAACCAGATGCGTTAGAAGACGATGACGACGTGGAAACCTCATCGGTATCATCGTCGTTAACGGTGTTCAGATCGATTAAACCACACATCATCTCAGAATCTCTTTTCTTTAACAAACCCGGAAACAAATTCGCAATTCATGAAAGTGGAAAAACACAAAAGAAAGAAACTTTCTTAAATACTCTCTTTCTTCTCTCGCTTTCTCTCTCTAAAAGTAAAGGTTGTTTGCATAATTGCACATAGATACACATCAAAATCACATCTTTTGATGGGGTGTTGATTGAATTTCGTCTTTAATCCTCTGTGATTTGCTGCAAAAGTTGCAGTAGCAGCTGCAGCTACGCTGCCACTGCGAGAGTACGAAGAGAGAGAAAGAGAGAAAGAAGAGAGAGAGGGTGGCTGCCGGTGACGCCCTGTAATTCCGGGAGGGTGTCAATTCTGTCTCCTTCCTATTCAAACAAATCTCTCTCGTGTCGTGTTTCTTATTGGCATACATACACGCATATCCATGGAGATAAAGAGGAAAGTTTCTTTTCTTCAAACTATTTTTTAATTTTTTACAATAATTTTATCCTTTCTGGTTAATATTTTTTTTACCTTGTTCAATAAAAATACATTGTTTAGCTAAATATAAACAATACATTAAATATAGCGAAATGACAAAGAATTATTTAATTGCATTTTTTTCCAATGTTAATGAAACTTTTTATATAACATACAATAGGCATGCATGTTTCTTAAAGATGTCTTTTTCTTAATAAACTTTGTTTCAAGTGTTTTGTATTTTCTTTTATTTTTAGAATAAAAATGCATAAATCTAAATTACTATTAAATTGCTTATAAATTATACATGTCTCGTATGAGACTTGACTCTCAATGTCATTAAAAGATAGTGTTGGATTAATAATAAGGAAAGTTTTATTAAATTAACGTAACTTTGATTCTAGAAGATTGTTTTTTTTTTAGTTTTAGTAGTAGATGATGATTCTATTTTATTAGTATGAACCAGGTTAATCTTTAAAATGTTTAAGTTAACTTTTTCAGCAATAAAGTTCACAAAGTAATTCTTTATTCTTGTTTTTTTTTTCTTTTTCTTTGTTTAGTTCATACATTGGGCACCAATGTAATATCATGTGGTATACATACACTTAGTATCAGAGCCTAGGACAGTTGGTTTCAAAAAAAAAGTGTAGCCTTCGCTATAGGGAAGACGCAACAGGAATCGGGTTAAGTTGAAGGGGTGTGATTATTTTTTAGCGTGAGTTGAAGCATCTCAACAGCAGCCCTGTTTTTTCTTGATCGGGCTTGTTCTAAGGTAAAAAGAGACTAACCGAAGGCGTGGAATAAACAGAAGGTAAGACGTTAAAGCGGGTGGATTTGATTCAGTTCGTTTTGCGGGTGACGGAAGACGTTAAAGGTAGTTGTGACTTTGTCTTGTTGTTCGGTGGAAAAGTGCTCTCAGAACAAGTTTGATTAGGTCGGGATTATCAAAAAAGAGAATAAGACGTTGGTCGGTTAAAATTAAAAGGCATGAAAAATCAAAGGGTTGTGTTCACATTAATCAGACAACAATGATTGGCGAGGAAGAAAGTTTGACTTATTCGTGATAAGGGGATACCAACGTAGGTGCGTGAAAAGTGGGCAGGAAGGATCTGTCAAAGCAGGTGACTTTGGATTCAGTCTATTTGGCATGATTGAAAGAACGGTGAAGCAGGTGTCCTTGTTTTCTTGGTCGGTGGAGATGTCTCTTTGAGCAAAGGTGATCGGAACAAATGAAGAGATTAGAGAAACAACACGGTGTGGACATTATGGGGGTGGAAGTTCAAATCGGATGGCTTTGGATGTGGCCAGGGAGAGGTCATGAATCCGGGAAAAGTCTAGATGGTAATGAACGTATCCAGCGGGATGTCATGTTACATGTTACGTGTGTTGTGAACAATCAAAAGGGTATGGAGGACTTTGGACGTGACCGAGATGGAGGTCAGGTGTCCGAGAAAAGTCAGGATGGTTCGGGAAGACGATGAACAAAGGTTGTGAATATGTTAATGGCGAAGAAGCGGTTACAAGTGATAAACGTGGACAAACCGATTATGGGGATGATTGTTCGATTAATCAGTTAGTTAATAAGGAAAGTTTTATTATATTAGGATTACTTTGATTCTAGAAGGTTGTTTTTATTAGTTTTAGTATAATATGAGGATTCTATTTGATTAGTATAAATGAGGTTAATGTTTAGGATGTTTAAATTAACTTTTTCAGCAATAAAGTTCACCAAATAATTCCCTACTCTTTTTTTTTTCTTCTTCTTTGTTCAGTTCATACCTTGGCCAACAAGGTAATATCAGGTGGTATACCTACACATAGCATCTTGACCATACCATTAGAACTTACACATTTTTTAAATGAAACTTAAACCTTCATTCTTATGAAGAAAAAACACAGGCAAAGACCTTTTTATAATAATAATGTAACGCCCGGTTCCCGATACATATTTTAAATATAAGTTTTTACATTTTTATATTGGGACTCGACGAGTTAAATCCCTAAACTCCTGGAGTATGGGTGAATCTTGGATGCGGGTGGAAGAGTCTACTCGACATGTAAGAAGGCCCGACTCGACGAGTAGAGCTGTCTAGATGAAACCCTAAATTTTAGGGTTTGAACCCTATTTAAACAACTTATATGGCCTCCATCCAATCTCCATCTCCCTCAGACCCTATTCTCGAAACCCTAATCAGTTTGTGGGTGTTCTTGAGCTACTTTGTGTCATTTTAGTGATTTGAAGCTTGGATAAGGACAGAAAGGATTGGAGGTCCAAGAAGAAGGCAGTAGATCCAGAGTTTTGGTTGCATTTCTATCTTGTTTGAGGTAAAAAGCTTCAACCTTGGCTTTCCATTACTTAGATCTTCTTTAGGGCTTACATATTGTTATTTTTGGGCCATTTCTAATTCACTCTCGGGATTTGAGTACATAATAGAGTAATGACTTCTGATATGGGAACTTTTGAGCTCATGAAGCTTAAAGTTGCCACTTTATTTGAGCTATGGCCCTATCCCATGCATTAGAAATCCTTTATGGCTTAGTTATGGTGTTTTAGCTTCATGACACCCATGCATGCACGTAAAGTTTGTAACTTTATGTGTTATGTCAACCTTAAGAGGCCAAATCTATGCTTTGGATGCAATAAGCTCGACTGAAATCGACTGTATGGACTTGGACTTTGGGGGACTCGACGAGTTGCTCATGGGACTCTGCGAGTCAGTTCATGGTTCCCCAACCTTTTCTGTTTCTGAGCAATCTGGTTTAGTCTAGAAGAGGACTCAACAAGGTGGACGTGAATATGGATATGAAGATCAAAGAACTCGACAAGTTCAAGGATGAACTCGGCAAGTTCAAGGTAATGTCCCGAACGATATTAAGAAGAAATCGACGGGATCAAGGAAGAACTCGGCGAGTCAAGGGCTAAACGTTCCAACTTATATGAATCAGGACTTGACGAGTTCAAGGATGAACTCGGCGAGTCATGAGCAAAAGTTCCCGATTTTGTATGAAGGAGAACTCGACAAGTTCTTAAAAGACTCGATGAGTAGGATCGAAGTTCTAGTATTTTATGGATTATGGAACTCAACGAGTTCGTGGACCAACTCGGCAAGTTGACTTTGACCAAAAGTTTGACTTTGACCACGGTGTTGACATTGACTTTGACTTTGACCTGATTTGACCCTTGAAAGGGTTACGAGTATGAAATGGTAATTTAGGAAGGTTTTTATGTGTAGGAGTTTGAGATGAGTTGATCCCAGCACCGAGGACAATTCAGTTACTACACGACATTAAGGTGAGTTACCTTCCAGTAGAAGTGGGTCTAAGGCACCAAGGCTAGCCCACTAGTAAGAGTTATAGTTGAGATAATTATCTTCGTGATAATTATCTGGTATGTCGTTATCTATTATGATTATGTGCTGGCCTGCTATGATGTTATGTGATAGTAGGTAGTAGGGGGGATAGTCCCCGTGTTATGGTCTTAAGAACCGAAGGGTAGGTTGGTCACCCCAGATATGCTTGAAATTATGTTTATGATATGTTATTATATGGTAGTAGTAAGGGTGAAATAGTCCCAGTAGCCGGATGAGATAAACCAGAGGGTAGGTCAGCGCCCCATAATTGCCAGACAGGGTAGGTCGGCACCGCAGAAATGTCAGACAGGGTAGATCGACACCCCATAATTGCCAGACAGGGTAGGTCGGGCACCCCAGAATTGTTTGGCAGTATGTTAGTTATGTGATATGTGGTATGATGGGGGAACTCACTAAGCTTCGTGCTTACAGTTTTCAGTTTTGTTTTCAAGTACCTCTTCATCGAAAGGGAAGGAGCTGGCACGGTAGCAACGCATTACACACAGGATTTCCGCATTTTGAGATTCTTGGGATTGTACTCTAACATCGCTACTATTTTTATGATATGGTTTTGAGACATGTGGTTATGGTTTTATGAAATGATGAGTCTCGATGATGTTTTCTTATAATTTTTTTTCTAAATTGTTATCCTAAAATGAAATTTTTGGTCTTGAAAATTGGGATGTTACAAGTTGGTATTAGAGCCTTGGTTTGAGGGATTCAGACACACTTTCAGGAGTGTCTGGACTCAAATAGAAGGTTTGAAAGATTTTCCCAAGAAAATAGTTTTTCCAAAAGTTAAAGTAAAGATTTTTGAGAAAGAGCAAGGTGTATGATGCGTGCAACCGGCTGAGCTCAAGTAAGTTTCCCCAAGATACCTATATATTTTATGTTATGATATAATATGATTATGATAGTTACATGCTAGAATAGGGTTAAGGTTCTAGGAAGGATGCCTTTTATGCCTACTGTATTTGTATGAGAACTACATGCTAGAATAGGGTTAAGGATCTAGGAAGATGCCTGATATGCCTGTTGTATGTGCTTATTGAGCTGCATGATAGTACCGAGTAGTCGGTGATATGATATCCTGGATAGGATATGCTTGGTTTAGGTACTCGATGCCTGAATTTTGCTTGCCTTGTTCTGTAGGAGTTCTAGTTAGCTTTAACTAATTAGTAAACGAATACGCTAAGTTATATATTGCAAGGAATAGATAATTTCAGAAGCTTAGGTATAACTCTATTTCGCAGCTCTTGTTTCAGTCCAACCGTTATAGGGTAGGACCTCTCATTCAAAGAACTATCTGTCTTAGTAATATATGATGGTATTCACAAACTAGTTAGGTAAAAGTAGCAGGGACTCCTTATGCAACTGATGCGCGAAGAGTGGGTTGGAGGAGTTACCCTAGGGTAAGCCTAGGATGAGACTAGCATAGAGTGCAGCAGTAGTAGAAGAGACTTGGTGAAGTTAAAGCAATCCTTGAGGAAAGTACAGATAGATGTGGAATATAGTATGGGCACGTACTACTGAAAGTAGAGGATATGTATTCGAATCAAGGAGGGCCAATACAAAACCAAGGAACTTGTAGAGTGTAT